TATATATATATATATATACACAATATATATAACTGCCTCCTCATTTTAAAACACCACCGCATGCCACTGGTTCACACCTAAAAAAAAAGAGAAGACAGATTAAACGCTGCCCCCTTGTTGTAGCTCAATATAAATTATGGTGCAGTCCTAAATCTTAGTTTAAAAAAGCAAAAATCCTGTTTTTTGTGACTCTGTGTTAATATGAAGATGTTTTGACGGTAATAGTGCATCATGATGAGGGGTTTGTGTGTATATGTCAGGTCTTGTTCACCGGCTGTAATGAATGTCTTCAGGTAGAAACACCTGCTCTGAGCCTCATTAACATACCTGAGCATCAAAACACTAGAAACTTCTCATGGTCTAATAAATACACGATCCACTGAGTCTCTACAGCTTGAGCTCTTGATGAGATATTCATTTGCAAATCAGGTCCGTTTGAATTATTAACGCTAGCTAGAACAGCAATAGCACAATATTAAACGTAATGTCATGATGTTAATGTGCCTTCTGTCTGCATCACTGACGTTTGACTACATTTTTGTTCCCTTTCCAATGATTATGGAAAACCTGGAGATGTGAAAATTGTGACTTTCAGGCCTCGAAAAAATAAAATAATTAATAAAAATAATTATGAATGAAAAAATAAATAAATAATAAAATTAATTCATTAAAATACGTTAAAAATAAATAATAATTACATTAAAATGCAATAAATAAAATAGATACAAATTTAACATTTACATAAACATACTGCAAAAGTCATAGAAATCAATGAAAAGTCATATTTAATTAGACAGAAATTACTTGTGGTGACTGTAATTGTTAAAAATAATAGATGCCTTGGCCCTTTTTCTTGTGTCAGAACATAGTTATGACTTATTTGTCATTGACATACATTACATATGTGTTTTTAGTATTAATTATATATTATTATCGTATTTGTTAATATTTTAATTAGCTTTTATATGCATTTTCAGTTGTCATTTTAATTGTAGTATAAGTTTTAGTCGTTTCGTTAGGAGTTTGCGCTATTTTTACTCAATTTAGCTTTTATTATTTTCATTTATTAAAAATTAATTAATTATCAATGACTAATTAACCATTAATTAATTTAAAATAAATAAATAATAATTAAATTAAAATACATAGCATAAAAATAAATAATAATTCAAATTTTAAATAAGTTAACATTTAAATAAACATACAGGAACAGTCATGGAAATCACTGAAAATTCATATTTAATCAGTCAGAAATTATTTGTGGCGACTGTAATCGTTATAATTATTTT